CTGGGAGAGGCCGGCGGCAGTGGCAGAACCGATGTGGATCATGGGACCCTCCTTGCCGGCTGCAAGTCCACCTGAGACTGCAAGAACCACGCCGATGCCCTTCACAAACATTGTTTTTGCCCGCATCATAAAGGGCACATTGATGCCATTGAGGTAGCATTTTACCTGCGGGATGCCACTGCCTGCGGCAACGGGCTTTAACAGAGAAGAAGGAAACAGAGAGAAGGAACGCGTACGGATCAGGATACGCCAGAAAATGAACTGACAATGCCTGCTTGATCAGTGGAAGAGGGACAATTCACCGGGCGGTGAGTGCAATGTGGGAAGAGGAAGATGGAAACAGTAGACAATGTTTTCAAGGACAACCGTCTGAATAAGTAAGAGGCAAATAGGGTCTAATGTCTTACTTTCACGTTGTGGCCCGCTGCGCGTACGTAAATGTGCTTTAAACTGTGTGCTTTGCTGTGGGGGCTTCAGTGAAATAATTCGGTGCTCGACACGACGGCTATATCAGCATCACTGTTACTCAGAAAGCTTTCTTGAGATGCAGCTGGTCTAAGCTACCAGTTGACACAGACGAACGGCTTTGGTAGTTTACGAAGATAGTTGGAAAAGGTAAAAACGCATAAGTAAATTTGAAAAGTCAATTTGGCAAATATAAGTTTTCAGCAACTCTTGATCAGGCAGGTACATGTTCACAGGCATTGGTCGGGTGTCGGGTCTGCTATCCGGTCTTCCTTCTCTTCCTAGCACGCAACTGACGCAGGCACACACACACACACACACACACAAGGCTATAACAGAAATCAAACGCAATGGTATGCGCGTGAAGTAGTGTTAAGTGATAGGAGACTTGCACTGCATCTACCGCACTGTCTCGTCCATCACGCGCCCGTGACCGGTGTCATACAGAGTCAAGAATACAGGTGACACATATAGGCACATAGTATTATAGTTTAACGTACCCTGCTCGGTCAGTGATTAGGCACAGGTGACTGGCGCAACGTGAGCCTGCACTCACACTTTCCATCACGCTCACCCCCCACTTCCCATTTGCGGAATTTTTACCACAGTGCAACCTGAATAACGCTTATCGTGTCCTACTCTGGTCCCGTTGTCGGTCCAACGCATCTTGCACAAGCACGGTTAGGTGAAAAATTCTCAGAAATTATGGACGTTTATTAGTTTTGACGAACAGTTGTTTTCGATCACTCATTATCAGGCCTTTATATTGACACATTGTGTCAATTATGTACAGGGCCTATATGTGGTTCTTAGGGTTAGGGGAGTGATGATTAGCTACTTCTTCGTTCCCTCGACCCTTGCATGACGGAGTCGGTGGTACTGCTCTCCCGAGCTTGAGTTCGCGTGCGATTCCCGCCTGTAGTCCGCCAAGGTAGACAAATTGCTTGTACCAATGTCTGTTGACAGTAGGGAGGCGGTTTTGTAAACTAATTGTCACTGCTTCGGTTGTGGCTAGCGTCCTTTTGCATATTATGCTGGTGCCTTGCATATGACCTGAAAGGCTTCTCTCGCGTCAACTTGGTAGTTCGTATTTATCAAGTGTACGCGTATTGAACTCGGAATCGATCAATTTTCTCGTTTCCCTAGGCAGACCAATATGTGTTCGTGTATCTTCTTCTCCATACATCTCATTGTTCGACCAATATATCCTGTTTCACAGGATCAGGTGAATGAATATATATACATAGATGTGACGAAAGAGGTCTTCCATGTCATATACTAGGTACTAGCACACTACTTCAAAGGCCTACGGGTGCTCGCCAGAGCGATTCATTTAGCAAAACAGGCAAACAGTAAAGCAGTCATGCAAGAGGCGATTAAGCACCCCCCCC